GGTCCAGCTTGTCAGAAAATAGCCCTTCAGGGGATCAATTTCCTGGACACAGTCTCAGGGCATTCAAATACGCTGCCCCTCCTTGCGTATCTGGCATCTGTCTGCCTTTTTATGAGCAGCTCCTGGAAAGGGTGCCTCTCCATCAGTCTCTGTTGCCACATCTGACTCAGGAGGTCTGGGCTCCTGAGGCACAGAGGAAGGGGTCGGTGGCTTCACTCTAGGAGTCAGGAAAAGAATGAAATCACACACATTCAGTTCCTTATTCTCTCACCCTCAACAGAAGTTTCAGATAGCCAAGACCACAAAGTCAGTTCGGAGAATTAAGATAAGCAACTAACTCATATTACAGCAAGGGCATCTTGAGAGCTCTGAGCCCATAGATCAAGCAGTATTTCTGGAAGGAGGTCTCCAAAGTTGATAGGAGGGTTCCCCTGGGCTGGAACATTTTACATCACCTGGCCCTCCTCTTCACAGCATTCTGTCTCTTCAGTGAGGTATAGAGCACAGGAACAACGATCAGAAGACCTGGGTTCCAGACTGGCTTTGCTATTCATCAGCTATGTCTTCTTTCCATCTCACTTTTCTTCCTCTGCAAAATAGAAACAAAATTTTTAGTCTACATCACAAGGTAGCTATGAGTTTAAAGAGGAATAGATTACATCAAAGTACCTTTAAGCAAAAGGTAGAAATACAGTAAAAAACAAAAACAAAAAAAGCCCGTACAAGCTGGTACTATTTTTTATGACAAGAAGAAAAAAAAAAATAGGGCTGGGTGCAGTGGCTCATGCTTATAGTTCCAGCATTTTGGGAGGCTAAGGTGGGAGGATCACTTGAGGCCAGGAGTTTGAAACTTGCCTGGGCAACATAGCAAGACCCCATCTCTACAAAATAAAAAAATAAAAAAATTAGCCAGGTGCATGCATGCATGCATGCATGCACATAGCCCTAGCTACTTGGTAGGCTAAGGTGGGAGGATTGCTTGAGCACAGTGAGCCATGATAAAGTCACTGTACTCCAGCCTGGAAGACAGAACAAAGACCCTGTCTGAAAAAGAAAGGAAGGAAGGAAGGAAGAAAGGAAGAAAGGGAGGGAGAAAGAAAGAGAGAAAGTCAGAGGAAATAAAAAAGAGGAGAGAAACTTTCCCCAAAGCTCTCTCTCTCTTTAAGATTAGAAAATGTAGTTTATTTAAAAGTAAATAAGAGAGAGAGAGGAGATTCACTTCCCCAAGGTAGGGAAGAGAGCCAAAGTTTAAGAAAACATGGCCTGGCCATAGCTCAAAGAACACATGGCCACACCATACCTTAGCAAGGCAATGGCCTCTCTCTCTTTCTACTCACTGATTCAGTCACAATAAACCACCTACATGAGCAAGATTTGCACCAAGTGTTGAGGGAGAGACAAAGATATTTAAGGTGTGATATTTGGTCGAGCTTGGTGTCTCAGCCATAATCCCAGCACTTAGGGAGGCTGAGGCAAGGGGATTGCCTGAGCCCACAGGTTCAAGACCAGCCTGGGCAACTTGGCAAGATCTTCTCTCTGCAATAAATCAAAAATTAGCCAGGCATGATAGTGCGTGCCTGTAGTTCTGGCTACTTGGAAGGCTGAGGTGGAAGGATCGCCGGAGCCCAGCAGGATTACTCTGGGGTGGCTGTGAGTGTGCCACTGCACTCCAGCCTGGACGACAGAGTGAGATTCCAACTCAAAAAAAAAAAAAAAAAAAAAGATGTGATCTTTGCCCTCAAAGAACTGAAAAGTCTAGCACAGACTGTGCAGCAAAAGATAGTCACAGAGATTTTAGAGAGCACCACAGATCAGTGAGTGCATAAGGAAGTTCTGTGACGAGTTGGAGGTGCTAGGTGAAGAGGTGGGAGGGGGAAGAGGAAGGGGGGATGAAAGGGTGTCACGATGCATAACGGTCTCCCAGGCTTATTGTCCAGGAGGAAATGAGGTCATCTTGCTCTTAAGAATCAGCATGACAACCCCCAGCCAAGTAATCTGGAGTCATGAGGGCTGCTGGGGGAGCAAAGTGAATCATGCCAGTCACTGGGAATTTCCTGATAACTAACCTAGGAGTTTCGGTGTAAGTCCTCAGGCTACAGCATCTCTGTTTACATTTATGATCACGTTTATTTACAATTAATGGGTTCTTGAATCCAAACAAAACTGGCCACAGTCTTCTAGAGGAAGTAGCGAGGGTGGCTCTGAGGTCTGCAGCACTCTGACTCAGTCCATCCCCTCGGAAGCTGGCAGCTCAGCGGGCACAGAAGAACTATCTTCAGCAGAGGATGGGTCACCCGCCTCCCAGAACCTGGATGGTTAACTTGCACTTTCGGCAGGCTGAAACCTCTGGCTGGGGCAGAGCAAAGGGGCCTTCCTCCTTCCTACCCTTCTGGCACTCTCCATCTTCCTTTTACCTCTCTCAAGTGAACCCAGACACAAGGTCTTGGTTTGCCAGGTAGCAAAATAGGCAGGGAAAGGGACTAAACCTTGGTCCCCTAGTGGATTACAGGAACTCAGCCTTCTCGCTCCTATTAAGGGAGCCAGTCCTGCTGGGTGATGTCAAATTGATGGTGGTGTCAAGCCCTCGTTCCTGACACCAGGGGAAAGAGATGGGGGTGACTGAACCAGAGTCTCTGCCGTGCTCCTGCAAGTGTGCCTAAGGAATGTGTGTGTGTGTGTGTGTGTGTGTGTACACAAATCTGTGTGTTTATCCTCTGGAAGCAGAGTGTGTGCTTATCCTCTGGAAGGGTTGGTGGAGTCATCTGTGTATGGTCTTTCTGGAGGCTGATTTTATTTGATAAACAATTGTTTTAATCTTTTTTTTTTTTTGAGTTGGAGTCTCACTCTGTCGCCTAGACTGGAGTGCAATGACCGCTTCCGGCCACCACAGCCTCGACCCGCTGGGCTCGGGCGATCCTTCCGCCTCAGTCTTCCAAGTAGCCAGAACTACAGGCGTGCGCTACCACGCCTGGCTGATTTTTTTTTTTTTTTTTTAATGTAGATATGAGGTCTCACCAAGTTGCCCAGGCGGGTTTCGAACCTACAGGCTCAGGCAATCCACTCACCTCAGCCTCCCAAAGCGCTGGGATTACAGGCTGAGCCACCGAGTCCGGCTTGTTTTTATCTTAATAGAAACAAGACTGTACCGTGAGTAGAATATTAAATACACCTGTAACCCCAGCACTTTGGGAGGCCGAGGCGGGAGAATTGCTTGAGCCCAGAAATTTGAGACCAGCATAGGCAACATAGTGACATCTTGTCTCTACAAAAAATAAAAATAATAGCTGGGTATGGGGACACATGCCTGTAGCCCCCCTACTCTGGAGGTTGAGGCAAAAGGACCGCTTCAGTTCGAAAGGTTAAGACTGTCCTGGGCAACTTGGCGAGACCTCATCTCTACAATAAATCAAAAAAACTAGCCGGGCGTGGTAGCGCACGCCTGCAGTTCCAGCTACTCGGAAGGCTGAGGCGAAAGGATCGCCGGAGCCCAGCAGGTCGAGGCT